AGGAGAGACCTAAGTGGGTCACTCACATAGTGAGGCCAGGCCCATGTGTTGGGATCACCACCACCCTCCCTGGGCAGGGGAGGGGGGAGGCAGGATTCCTGAGGTGACTGTCCTGACTGCTCTGTGGTATCTGTGCCTGGATAAGACTCTTCCTGCTCAGTACCCTGCAGTGAGATTGGAGCCATCAAGTCCTTTTCTGGTTCTGGGCTTTTCCTGCTGTCTAGAGTTGTTTTTGTCTGTCCCAGCCTGTGTGTTCCATGGGGCAAGGACTAGGTAAGTGAGGCATGGCCCTGAGAGGCCAGCCAGGAACTCACTGAGACATGCGGATCGCACACCTTCTTGACGCAGCCTGAGTAAACATGCTGACATTTTCAAAAAGGTTGTTGGAAGGGAAGAGTAATCCCAGCATTTAGGAAAGTGTTACCTTTGGGAGGGAGGGATGGGTTCACAAGCAGGGAAGGGTGTACGGATGGCTTTAACTGTGGAAATGTTTGATTTCTTAAGCTGGGTTATTGATGCACAGGTGTTCCTTGTATTAGTGTTTCTCCCTTCTGTATGTCTTAAGTGTTTCATGCCAGGTTTTTTGGAAAAGGTAATAAGGGCTTACTTAATCCATACGCTGCCGTTGATGTGATTGCCAACAGCCAGTGTGGAGAGAAGCTGCCTCCCTCCACCACACTTTCCTGAGAGAATCTTGCTGGTTGCGTGTCCCCAGTGGGCCCTGGACGCTCTCTCTCTCGGTTGGTGGGCCAGGCTCCCTGTGGCAGGTCAGCTGTGCTCACCTGTTCAAGCATGTTAGATGCCTTCCACACCTAGAGAAACTCTCTTCCCCGATGAGGATCTGGGTGTGAGGGACAGGGCTGAGCAGTGCACTCGTCTGTCACCCACTAAGCCCCGACCTGTAGCCCATTAGCCAGCCAGGACTAACTCTTAGGTAGCGCTTACTGTGTGCTTGGCACTTAGGTAGTGCTAACTGTGTGCCAGGCAGTTCCTTGAGCATTTTTCATGTCATTGCTTGTCCAGTCCTCACAGCAACCCCTGAGGCAGGTGCCATTATTCTCCCCTTTTACAGGTGGGGAAACTGAGGCCTGGGAAAGTAAAGTGATTTGCCCAAGTTCTTCCAGCTGGTAAACAGCGAGGGCACTCAAGCAGTCTGGCTCGAAGCCAGACCCCATGTGAGGGAGGCGAGGCAGCCATCCCTGTGGGGAGGTCAGGAGAGGAGGACCAGGGACTCTGAGAACCATGTCACAGGAATCTTTAGCTACACTCCTGAACATCTATCCCCCCATTCCCCAGAGGGGAAGCTCAGAGGCAGGAGCCTTCTGAGAGAGCCCATTCGTATTTGGAAACCCCGACTTGCCATTGATGGGGTGTCTGTCCCCTTGAGCGTCTTGCCTGAGGGGAGTGAGGCTGCCCTGGGCTTCCTGCTGGAAGCTGGGAGGACATGGCTGTGGGTGTCCTGTCCCCTCCTCTAGCTCAGTTTGCCCAGCTGGCCCAGCTGAACCCCCAGGAGCGGCTGAGCCGGGAGACGGCCCTCCAGCAGAAGCAGGTGTCACTGGAGACCTGGCTGCAGCGCGAGGCCCAGACGCTACAGCAGTACCGCGTGGTGAGTGGGGCCCTGCATCCTCCCCACAGCAATAGGGGTCCCACCCTGAGCTCTCTGGGGACCAAAGGCCTCGACAGAGCCAGGAGGAGAGCAGGACCCAGGAGAGCGGGTAGCCAGGTTCCCGTGGGTGAGTGAGGCGGAGCAGGTCCAGGAGAGGGCAGACCTGTGAGGAGCTGGTCAGGCCCCTGTACTTCTCAGTAAGGCCCTGCAGAGTTGTTCTCGGGAATCCAGAGGGCCTGCTCTCCCCTCTGCCCCCAGGAGCTGGCCGAGAAGCACCAGAAGACCCTGCAGCTGCTGCGGAAGCAGCAGACCATCATCCTGGACGACGAGCTGATCCAGTGGAAGCGGCGACAGCAGCTGGCTGGGAA